TAATTTGAAGCCAACTATCTAGACAATTTGTCACTCGCTGTTCATAGAAACTTAATTTACCAGCATGATGGAGCACCTCGACATAGAGGTTTCCTCATCAACAAGTTTCTTTACAATGTGTTTGACGATCGATGGATAGCAGACGATGGTCCTTTCCTTTGGCCACCTCGATCCCCAGATCTTTCGGTGCTCGATTTTTTCATTTGGGGTACAATTAAAGATCGAGTGTATATCACTCCCATGGAAGATTGCATGCAGCGAGTGAGGAATATGCCTTTAGAAATTTAAGTCTCGAATGAATAAGAAAAGTGACCCATGCCCAAGTGATTCTTCGGTGCGAAAAATGTCTGGAAGTTCAAGGAAGTCAGTTTGAACATTTACTGAAAAAATAATTTGTTTTTTTAATTTCTAGCTTTAGCAGTTTTTTTTTTCTCTAAACTAAATATGCACTAAGTGTTATAGCCTTAGCGGCTCCAAAGATCTTGAAATTTTCTATAACTTGTTCAACAGAATATTGTAATGGTCAATGGTCTCTGTTTTAGCGAATATCGAATGGCAAATGTTCTTGATATATCTTTATCACATTCTCAATAAATAATAAATAACTTTAAATAATCTTCCTTTGTATAATTTAAGCGGCCAGACATTATCATTAATTAATTTAACATGGTAAATGAGAGCTTAATGCATTTCTTCAGCATCAGATTATTTTTGAACGCCGTCACTGACAACAGAACTTGAAATCGGTAGCAAAATCGCCATAAAAAAATATTAACTTGGCAATATTTCGAAAAATAATAATTTTCGGAATAGACAACTTCAGACAAACTTACCCTTATTTTCAATGCTGGATAAGATAAAATTATAAAATTCGGGGGTTCCCATTTGAAAAAATGTATTTTCGGCAGTTTTCTCAATGTATTAATAGTTGTCAAAATATTATAAAAAATCTGTTGAAGTAGGTGCTTGTCAACAAGCAATCCAACTCAAATTAAATATCAAAAGATTTTTTATAGGAAAAATTCATAATTATTTTGGGGCCTGCAAACGTAATTTTTGACATAAAAACTTAAATATGTCAAAAATGCTTAGACTAAGGTATGAAATGATACACGGAATCTGTCTAGAATCTTGAGTAGAATCCAAAAATGAAATAATATACAGGGAGTCTCATTTGAAATACCTAAGCAAGTTGACGTGTACTTCCGGTATAACCGGAAGTGCCACCATCTTGAAAATATTTTAGCAGAGTTGCCCCCGTTGACATTAGTATACTGTCAAGTTTTCAAAAATTTTCTGCACACAGTTTTTTATGAAAAATGTATACGGGTGTCCCACCGAAAACATGTCAATGACCTATATCTTTAAAACGGTAATCGATAAAAAAAAAATGAAAAACCCGTTTGGAGCTTTGGAACGGGGAACCAAAACAAGGTACTTTTCAGGTCTCCCTGAATCACCCCTCCGGCCGTAGCTACCCTAACCTCAAAATCTTAAATGGCACTATGGGTCATGTGATACCTTGTTTAAAAGGTTTTTTAATTCTCTAAACGAATCTGCAAAAAAATATCTAGATATAAATTTAAATTGTTACAAAATGGCGTATGCTTCGAGTTAACAACTTTGCTTTCTTGAGGAGGTGAACACTGTCAGGTACAGTGAGGGGAAAGGAGTTCAAAAAAATAAAATCTTGATGATTTCTTCAAAAATATTCATGCTGTATAAAATCGCTTTTAAATCACATTTACCTGTTCCCCCGATCAAATGAGATTTTCATCAAAATGAGAGTCACATTCAAATCTGGATAATTTTTTTTTTGCAGATCCATTAAGAGAATTAAAAGACCTTTAAAACAAGGTATCACATGACCCATAGTGCCATTTAATTTTTTGAGGTTAGGGTAGCTACGGCCGGTGGGGTGATTCAGGGAGACCAGAGCTGGGCAGGGCTTGAGTGCTTTGTGCTTGCGAAAGTGCTTGAAGCACTTTGAGGGCTTGAAAGCCCTGTGCTTCAAGCCCTTTTATAGATTTGTAATTGGGGCTTGCAAAGTCAATTACTTTAGAAAAGTGCTTGGTAATTTGTAATTGAAAAAAGTAATTCAAGCCCTTTCAATGAGCTTCAATTACTTTTAGAGGGCTTAAAGCACTTTTGGGAGCTTGAACCCTTTGAAAGGGCTTGAAGCCCTTTAAGAGGGCTTGAAGCACTTTTGGGAGCTTGAAGCACTTTGAAAGGGCTTGAAGCACTTTAAAAGGGCTTGAAGCACTTTAAAAGGGCTTGAAGCACTTTGAAAGGAATTTGAATTGACCATCATTCAACCTCCCACTTAAAAATTTTCGATCATGTTTTGTCCCTTAATTTTTTTTTCTTTTATTTGAACTTGAACCGTCTTATGTCTTTTCTCTCTTAACAATGGAGGTTTTGGGTTCGAGCTTAGAATGGAATTTAAAAAAAAAAATGAATGAACTTATTATTAAAATAAATAATTAATTTATATTGGTACCCTATTTAACTTTATCACTGGATTTTTTCCACTTTTCCCCATTGAACATTTTGAAAACCTTAAAATTGAAGTACCATGTAGTACCCCAAGTACCTACCCCAGAACTACATCTCAAAAAAAAACATACTACTGCTACTCTGTGAAATGTAAAGTTCGTCTCTACTATACCAATTCTGTGTGATGAGTTTACGCGGTAGCTTATGCCACTTTGAGAATTTTATTACAAATTCAAAGTGCTTTAGGCACATTTAAAGAGCTTCAAGTGCATTTAAAGAGCTTGAAGCACATTTAAAGAGCATGAAGCCCTTTTCAAGGCACCTCAAGCACTTTTGATGTGCTTCAAGCACTTTTCAAATCACTTTGAGGGCTTTGTGCTTGTCAAGCCCAAAGCACTTTGAGGGCTTTGTGCTTGTGAAGCACTTTTAAAAATAAAAAGGAATTTGTGCTTGAAATTGAAGCACTTTGACAGAGGGCTTAGGGCTTAGTGCTTCAAGCCCTTTTACTGAGGGCTTTGCCCACCTCTGCAGGGAGACCTGAAAAGTACCTTGTTTTGGTTCCCCCTTCCAAAGAAATCACATCCTGAAGTTACGAAATGTACTTAGGAAATACCCTGTAGATTTTTCTATTTTCTGACCAACATGTACATGCTATTTCAAGTTTCAATAGTTTAATATTATTTTTTCAAAAAGCAGAAACATTTATAAAGAATAACTTTTTTTCGTAAAATTGATAATAAAAGAGTTTCCCATATGCTGCGAACTTAAGTGGACATACTGGCTCATATGAATAAAACAGAAGCAAATGCTTTTGCTCAAGTTTTTTGAGATAAATATATTCAGCTTTAATGCCGCAAAAAGAGACGGAGGTAGAGCAAAAGCATTTGCTACACTTTATTTATACGACTGACTGGTATATATTTTTATTTGTTTTTGAAAGCGCTATCAAAAAATATAAAATATACAGGGTGTTCCACTTGAAAAAAATTAAATCTGATGTTTCACACTTTTTTTACACCCCCTGTATATGCGCGAATACAAAAAATTTATTCAGGATTTAAACCTCACAACTTTTGTATTTAAACTTTTTGTCATAAAATATCTAAATTTCCATATACCGAGTCAGGACAAAATAAACGGACCACCCTGTACATAAAGGTATGGAATAAATTCAATGTAAAATAATTAAGGGTGTGCGCTTTAAACGGCACCTTCTGTATATTATGACATTTCTGGATTCTACGAAGAATTCTAAAACATATTTCAATTTTAAGTTTTTACCTATCTTCAACTGTTTTGGAAATATTTACACTTGGAAATTGTTATTTTTCAAGTCAACAGCTGTAGACGGATTAGAATAGAGCAACGGCTTGCGCATTCCTATCCTGACCTAGTTTTCCATAGGCTATATTGGTTAATAACAATTTTTTTCAGAAATTATCAAATGTTTATGAACGCTAAGACTGATTTTAAAGAAACATTAGTTGAGGCTGATATTTTGTTGTTTGTAGTAGGGCAGGTTTGCTTATAGACCGTCAGCTAGTGACAGATTTGGGTGCCCTATTTTCGCATACAAGCCTCAAAGAGGATTGAAAAGTACATCGATTTTGAGTAGGATGAAGGTAATTTTACTAGTGGCTCCTGGGGATAACATATGGAAAATTCGATTTTACTTATGTTACCCTAAAATCTAATTTTCCATTTGCGACACTCAAGCCAATATGTTTTCTTGCTACCGACGTTGTAAATTTTCATCCTTCCGATGGGCTTGTTTGGAATAATCGCCCAAAATCCCGATTTTTCCTTACAAGATTACGCCCTTATCTCAAACCTTTAGCCACCTGCAACACCCCCTTCTTTGTTTTACGAAGCCAGGTTGTATTAATTAATCCTTTGGTGAACACGGCTTGCGAGAAAATATGGGCACTAAGACGTCTTTCATTTCTGTTAGGGAAAATCGAATTTTCCATACATTATCCCTAGGAGCCACTCGTAAAAATACCTTCATCTTACTCAAAATCTATGTAATTTTCAACCCTCTTCGAGGCTTGTATGCGAAAATGGGGCACCTAAATATGTCACTATCTGACGGTCTATTACTTATTCCCATAGGAATGCTAGTGTCATTTGATAAACACCTTTGAAATACTAACGTTCGAATTCTATGTCATTTCTGAGGTTTGGTATGACTCAATTTCAAGTGGAAGAATTCAAAATGTGAGTATCAACAACACAGAAAGGTCTCATAAAATGATTGGGTATGCAGAAAGTGTGAACCCAACAGAAGGTGTGTGTTTTATTTAACAACAAATATCCGGATAGACAAATAAATCAATCAGTAGTCAGCAAAATTAAGGGAAAGCTTGGAGAAAATGGTTCTGTGGAATAAAAAAACATGAACGCTGATTTTTTTCCTTTTTGAGCTAAACGATTTTTTTTCTAGGACACCTCTTAAAAAATTGATTCCTAAAAAAAGGTGCCTGTCAAGACTGAGAAATAAATTTTTCAAGTTACTTATTTATTTATTTTTAAATGGTAGTAATACAATGGGTGAAACTAATAATAATACTTGTCATAATAGTTACAATGCTTTGTATGGAAAAATGCTCAAGTGAGCTTTATAGAAAATAATGAACAAATTTAGTCCTCAAATTCTTCCAACAACATAGAGACCAATTCCTGTTTCTCACACATGACTCCCTCCAACTTATTGACCTCATTCCAGATTGCTATAGTTGGAATAACCCTAAGCCTGACCTTATCCTTCCTGAAAGGATTTTGGGGATTCTTCCACCTAAAAAAATATATAAAACATTAAATTTTGTTTCCGGGAGCAGTACTAACGAAACTATACACTAAAGCAAAAAGTCACAGATGTAGTGAAAGGCCCAAAGTGAGCCACAATTTTTCAGGCGTAATTTATAATTATTAAGTGAATTAATTTCAAAAATTATCAATGGGCTATTGAAAAAAGAGAGGCTGATAGAGACTTCAAAAAGTGGGCAAAGAAATTATTGATTAGCAATAATGGGCACTCCTTAGGCAAACGAATGTCCTATTTTTTGGCAAATTGGCATGTTTTGTAGTAAATTCAGAAAACTTATTTCCTACAAAGGACATCGCACACATCTTATTGGTTTTCAGGGACCTGTCGATTTTTTAAAAAATTTGTTATGTTGTAGTACTAGCAAAAATAAGCATTTTTCATCATTGCACCAAATCTCTAAGTATACAGGGTGGTCTGGAAATCATAAAACAAGCCCGAGAACAAGCCTTTTAATTATCGATGTAAGCGCACCCTGCAAGCTACATATTGGGATTTTTGTTTTCAATTTCGCAAATAAAGAGTCTAGATAAGCCTAATATACTATACAGGGTTGCTAAGCTTGTGTATTCTTTTAGAAATCCTGCCCTATTCTTCGAAATAGTGTTACCAAAAAAGTCGCACAGGATTTAATTTGCTTTTTTAATAAGTAGTGCTACAAGTTGTAGTGGGAAAATGGTAAAATTCAACCTAAATACACTACAATATTTCCACTTCAAAAATAGTGATTGTTTGTTTTTATGCTGAGCGTAGCCCAAGTACCAAACAACTCTAGAAATGTAACAGCACATGCCCAAAGTTCTAGCACCAACTTATTAATTATTATACAGGGTGTCCCAGCCGAGAGTGACCCATTTCACATGCTTATAACTTTTAAACCAGGTGTGCTAGCTACCTGCGGTTTGCGTTATTTGACTTATCTTGGCCTAAAGTTTTTCGACACTTATTCAGAGCCAGTAAAAAAAAAACCTTTTTCAACATCGAAAATCTCCACTATTTTTAATGGAACAACCTTTATATCAATATTGAAGAGTTGAAAAACATTATTTCTGAAGACCTAAATCTTGTAAAGAGCTGGTGTGACTCTAACTTGCTTTGTTTTAACTCTAAGAAAACCAACATATTGACATTTAAATTTTTTTTTGATGATTTATTATTAGACACACGCACAATTGAAAATAAAACTAGCTGTAAATTTCTTGGTATTCATGTTGATACTCAACTTAAGTTTAATGAGCACGTTACAAATCTAAACAAACGATTGGCAAGTGGTTGCTATGCTGTAAGAATAGCGTCAAATGAACTTGGTTTGAATACTGCTAAGTTGGTTTATTTCTCGTTGGTTGAATCACATATCAGGTATGGCATTGCATTTAGGGGTAACTTTTCTAATAAATTGTTTGATTCTGTTTCTGTCATTCAAAAGAGAGCAGTGCGCTATTTGTGTAAGGTTGGATATTGGGAGCATTGCAAGCCACTATTTTTAAAACATAAAATACTTACAGTATGCTGTATATTTATCATGGAAACTGCTTGCCTTATGCACAAAAAACATTATGATGAGTTAGAATATCCAAGAACTTATCCAACTAGGCAACTTCTTAAAATTTAGCTTCCTATACCCAAGACTGCATTGACGCATAATTCACTAATTTATAAAAGTAGGCAAATTTTTAATCATCTGTCTGTTAACTTAAGGCAGATAGGTGGTTTTAAAAAGTTTATACTAGAGCTCAAAACATTTTTACATGGAAAAGCCTACTATCATATTAATGAATTTTTAAATGAAAAATTTTAATTTTGTTTGTTTCATTGTTTTGTTTTGTTCTGACCGCAACCTTTATGTTTTTTCTGTATTGGCTGTACCTTCTATATGACTATATAGTTTGATGTAGAAAAATTGTACATGTGTTGCTTAGGATTATGCTTTGACATTTATGTTTATGATTATTTTTTATTTTATTGATTGTACCTCTTTTTTTTTATAACCCGATAATTTTTAATTACTTTCACATTATTTAAGATCATGCTTTGTCAATGAAATTTATTTTCCGACAATAAAGTATATTTTGATTGATTGATTGATTGATCACAACGTAAAAAAAAAGAGTCATGTTGTTATATAACACGCTGAATATGAATGAGTATCTCATATCACACCGATTTTTAGGAATTGTGCTGACAACTGACGAATTGTGATTAGGTAATTACTTTCAATATTACCCTTTTGGATCTTGTTTTCAATTTCATACTGGGCTTAATGTTCATAAGAATCCATAATCGAATAAAAAGTTATACTTTTATCACTTTCCACCATCTCGAATTTTATCACATTTGTAATTTTTTAGATTCCATGACATCCCTGTGATAGGCTCTATTTTAGGACCACATTTTTTTAAATCGGACAAAAATTTAAAAAGTTACGGGCAAATAAAATCCAGCGCGACCTTTTTGGTAACACTAGGTATTTCTAAGAAATAGGCCAGGATTTCTAAAAGAATACACAAGCTTAGCCACCCTGTATAGTATATCAGACTTGTCCAGACTATTTATTTGAGAAATCGGCAACAAAAATCTCGATATGTAGCTGCAGTGCGCGCCGACATCGATAATTAAAATGCTTTCGGACTCCCTTTGCTGGGCCGCCCTGTATAGTTAGAGATTTGGTGCAATGGTGAAAAATTCTTATTTTTGCTAGTACTACAACATAGGTACCTACCAAATTTTTTAAAAAAATCGACTTGTCCCCGAAAACCCATAAGTAAGATGTGTGCGATGTCCTTTTGTACTTCACACAAAATATTTTTTTCTATCATTTCAATAGCTTAGTTGCAGATATCAAAAGTGTAAAAATATTACTTACTCCTCTCTCTCCCCAACCTCTACAATAACCAAGGGGTGGTTATCCGGAAGGGCGTCTAATACTCCCATGACCACTGGCCAAGCTAGAATAGAACAGAACAATTAAATCAATTCTATGAAACTTCCCAGTCAATTTTAACATAAACTGACTAATGAGGCACTAAGCCCACTTCATAATTAAAATATATATTTTTCCAGGTAGGTACCCTGGTTCACTATGCCCCTCGCTATGCCCTCTTCACCTAATATGACAGTTTTTTATTTTAATGCGATTATGTTAGATTCTGAATAAGAAATTTTAACCAAAATCTTGGTGAAAAAGTTTCATTTCTTCCATTCTTCCATCAAGCCTTCCATCTAATATAGTATTGTTGTTTGATTATCGCTACCTAATTGAGCTTCATTATTTTTTTTTTAAATAAAATTGTGCAGGAAAAATAATTTATTGGTTACCAAGAAAACAGAGATAGGGATATTGCAATTGAAAATTCCTTAGCTTTTATCTTATTGGACCATTTAAATATAAACCTAGTTAAAAACATCCACATCATCTTCTCAATCCTTGACACAGATCAGTGAATTTTCATTTCATTTCATTTATTTAGAACCAATATTAATAAAATTACAACAATAAAGTTATTAACTTAATTAATTAATTAATCTATCAGGTATTCTGCTATGTTCTATACAAGTTATGCCCAAGGCACCTAGGTGTTTGAAACCCCTGTGTGTGCCTTCTATGTCACTTTGTGAAGAAAAAAGAAAGCTCTTTATAATTTACTAATTAAGTCAAGACGAAAAAAAATAAACAGTTGAGTGATACAGTACACATTAATTTTAGGTATAATTGTCACAAGCATTATTTAGCAAAAAACCGTTGAGAATGATCCAATATTAGAAAAAATATACTCTTTACATTTCTCAGTGAATTTCTTTCCCTTCTGAATACCTCTTATGCTATTTGGCAACTGATTATAAACTTTAGGCCCGATATAGGAAAAAAAAGTCAGATTGCTATTATTGAAACTACGAGGTATATTTATGTGGTGGTTAAGGTTGTTTCGTGTACTGTGTTCATGATTCATATGGTTTTTCAGATAGTCATTTTTTTGTATATAGCTACTTACTGCAGTCATGTATAGTGTACGTATATTACAGGTCTCCAATGTAAATATAAGATGTGTCGGATATCTCTTATTTTTTCTATATTATACTATTTTTAAGATATATTTTTGCATGAGCTTTAGTTGTTCAAGATTAGTTTTGTATAACATAACCCTCCCCAGACCACAATCCCATAGGTAAGCAATGATTCAACTAGTGATTTATATATAATAACTACTACCTTCTTGTTGAGGAATTCCCTTAATAGATAAAATTTATGTATTAATTTTGCAATTTTATTTGAAACATAATCTATATGAGGTTTCCACTTAAGAAATTGGTCGATCACAATGCCAAGATACTTAGTATGTGCAACTTCCTTGATAATTTGTGTATCTATTGCTATTGATGTAAATGGAGGTCTGTTAGCAAGTGTTAAGGAAAAAGCAATACAGTAAGGGGCAGGCTACTAGGTATATAGAATCCAACTTGACGAATTTACGATCGTCCGCAGCCGTTTGAACATCTGTCGCTGTCGGTTCGCTGTCGTTTTTTCGATGACTTTGACGTTCATTGAGTTTGTTCACAAGCCAGGTTCACATCAGTACGTTTTATGATTTTACAGACTTAAGCCCGGTCCAGACGCTACGTTACTGATTACTGATCACGTGTTGAGCTGTGCAAACAAAACGTTATGCAAAACGTAGCATCTGGACCGTGCTTTTAGATGTATCGATTCGTCGAGCTTCACTTAAAGTCTGTTTTTTTTTTAAAGATAAAAGTCAAAATGACATTATATTGGCAATACAATGTAAAATTGTCAATGCTTTCAAATTTTTCATGTAGAAAAGGCTTGTGTTGCCAACATAGTTACTAAATTTTTGACTTGGGGAATTATCTTTAAATAAAAACCAAACTTTACTTATAATTAAAATTAAGCGTGTAGATAGATTTTTTTTTCGAACCGAAACAATCATTTTTCATATTCTATGAAAAGAAAACATGTATTTTTAAAAAGTCATCAAGGAAAAACTAAAAATGTATTCAACATAAGAAATAGAAGAAAAATTAGGTAAAATAAAAACAAAAGTTCTAAACAGATGATATTATGTAGCAAATGTTCAAACAGTCCACCTTCTTGAGATAAACAATGAGCTAAACAATCATAGAAGGCTCTACGAACATTATTCAGCATCACATGGGTGACAGTTAGATATATTTCTCGAATTTTGAAACGCTGCTGCTCAAGGTTCACGGCGCGATCCTCTTGACCACCATACATTTTTGATTTGCAATAACCCCAGAAAAAATAATCGTTGATGGGTGCAAGATCGGGAGAGCGGGCTCGCCACAGTATTTGTAGCTCTCGACCCAGTAATGAGACGGTTTGGAAAAGTATTATTCAAATGGGCCAGAATGAAACTTGTGTTTTGGGCTGGACATCCATCTTGTTGAAACCATATTTCATAAATTCTAGGACCAGATAATCTTCTTATTTCTGGAATTATCTGCCGTTGCGAAAAATCCAAATATACCAGTTAAAGGGGGTGTGCGCCAAAAAAACAACTTCATCTCAAAAAAAAAGAGAAAAAAAATCTAAGAATAACAGTGAAATCCGCACCCCTCTATGACAAATAATACAGCAGATATGGCTCTATGAAGGTACCGCATCTCACCCTATGACGTCACGAAAGCTCAAGCGACGCACGAGAAAGTGAATTTAATTAAATTTACATAATGTTTTTCCTGTGTTACCTGCAATAATCTAAACAAAAACCACTCACGCGTGCCGGCAACAATCAAATTAACAATGCAGAGCGCCGCTGGACGAAGTTTTCGTGACGTCACGAGAGCGTCGTCCACACTTTAAAGCGGTATATCTCGGCGATGGTTTATCGTAGAATAACGAGGTTTGAACAGTTATTCTTAGATTTTTTTACACTAAAACTTTAATTTTTGGCGCACACCCCCTTTAAGTTAGCGTCAATGGAGTACGGCTCAATAATATGTTCACTATACAAACCGCTCTAGACAGTTACCTTTTGAGGACGCTGGGCTCCAAGTTCAAAATACCTGTGTAAATTCTCCGTAGACCTAAGACCAATAACGGGTGTGACTAGGATTATGTCGACAATGGAGTTGAAATGTCTTTTCATCTGTGAAGACAATTCTTCTAAGAAAATCTTCAATTTCATTTTTTTTTAATTTCATCATTAATCAGTTCCACAAAACTCGATTCGCCTGATGTCCTTGCATCAGGATCAATTTTTTGGGAGTTTCGTACTTTGTACGAACGATCCTTTTTTTTTCTGTGGCTTCCTCACCGTCCTTGTACTTGAGTAAATCTCGTGCGCAAGCGCACGAGTAGAAATAGTTGGAGTTTCGTTAACTAATGCCAACAACCAACGACATAATTTATTCGGCTTCCTAATCCTCATTATTTTACTGGACGTCATTTCGTTTATGGTTTCGGGAAGAAACACAACCATATTTTTTAAAATTATCAACAACCCAAGAAACTTTTTACCTGGTTGTCACCAGGTTAGCGCTAAATTGATTTGTCATTTTCTGAAATGCGGACGCCTGCAAATTCGTCAGGTTACTTCCTATATACCTAGTAGGTTGCCCCTCACTGTATAATTGGTTTTTGTTAAATTTAGTCGGAGTCTGAATGTTTGAAGCCAATTCTTTACCAAAGTTAGACCATTTTGCACCTTGGCTCTAACCTCTTCCCATGTTTTATCTTTAAAAATTAAAACTGTGTCATCTGCATACGATATTGCGTCCCCATTTATGTTTACTTTTAAAAGTGAATTTATGTATGCAATAAAGAGAATGGGTCCCAAAACGCTGCCCTGTGGTACACCAATTTGTACTTTAAGCTTATCGCTAAATATGCCATTAAGCTTGACCATTTGATGTCTATCGTGCAAGTAATTTCTCAGGACTTCCGACACAATTCCCCTGACCCCACACTGCGACAGAGTGGCTATGAGTTTATCATGAGGAACCGTGTCGAATGCCTTGGCAAGATCTATAAAAACTGCCATGCACCTCTCACCACTGTTCAAACAGTTATTAATAATTGATGTTAGTTTAAACATAGCATCAGTGGGGTTCGAGCCCGCAAGGAAACTAAACTGGTTTGGAGAAAGAATGTTGTTTCTTTTAAAATATGAAAGTAGTCTTTTTTTTATGCACTTCTCAAATATTTTTGCAAAATTGCTTATCAAACCTATAGGCCGATAATTTTGGATGTCAGATTTTGATCCAGATTTATAAATAGGTACAATTACTGAAACTTTAAAAGCGCTAGGGACAGTGCCACATTCAAATATGCAATTTATTATGTGCAATAGGGGTACAATAATCTCTGAGTGAGTATTTTTTATCAGTTTTGCACCCACTCCATCAAGACCTGGTGCACTATTATTTTTTAAGGAGGCGATATGTTTAATAAGCTCATTTCTTGTAACAGGCGCAAGAAACATAGAGTTTTCGATTGGCATATCCAAAATATAAGGTTGTGAAGGGGTAGGTATCTCGGTTTCTAATTTAACATTATTCTTTATAAAAAAGTCATTGCAATAGTTTGCCATATCCAGTTCCTTTTCAAATTCTTGGTTTTCGTCATTTAAAATTTTTGTCGTTTCGTTTTTATTTTTGGTCTCATAGGTTGCATCCTTAATAATTTCATAAATTTTTTTCATGTCATTTTTATTTGTTTCAATTTGGCTTTTATAAAAATCATTTTTTTGTTTATGTATTAGTTTTTGTAATTTATTTCGGTAAAGTTTATACTCATTAGCCAGCTGTATATTATGGTGGAATACTTACCTAATGTAGATATTTATCAGTTTAGTTAAAATTATCTTATCAATGACCAAGTGATCATGACTCGCAGTAGTAGGCATACTTATGTACATACAAAATGGATCCTATACTATTTGGAAATATACAATTGAATTTTCTAAAATTATTAACTCGATTATTAATTTATTTACTCACTTCCCAAACTAATCTAGACAAGAAAATTAGATTATTTTTCGCCATTTTAACTTTTTTTTTAGAGCCTAATTATAGTATACAAATCTTGATATGGATTTGATCACATTTTGCCATTTTTCTTGAAAACAATGTGTTTAACGAAAAAAATTCCAGAAACAAAATGATTTCTAAATTGAATGGGCCTTTTACAAGATTAATATTTTTTGAGAAATTCAAATACACATTCGAATTTTTGGGGTTCCAAAGACAGGGAGGCCCAAGACAAGAAACAGGGTCTTAAGGGGATCCTCCCCCTAAAAGCATAGCACCATCCAATTATTTATGTCATAAAACCCCTGTGTACCAAACATAGTGATTCTTGTACAACAGCGTTCTGCAAAATAAAAAAAAGACTATTCTTATTAAAGGCGAATGTTAGTGGGCTTTAACTCCGAACGGGGGGACCATTTACCAAAAATAAAAATACAGCTCACCTATGTTTTTTAAGAATCTTTGTTGCATTTATTTCTGGACACCCTTTATAACTAATTAATTATAATAAATAAAAATATTCAAATAATGTTAAATGAGTGGAATGTAATTAATTCATGTACTGTAAGTAGACATGCCCTTATTAAAATTTTGGTGAACAAATATAGTAGGTAATAAGGAGGCCCTGATATCAGTTAGGCCGGAGTTACCAAATTCCTTAATTCTTAATATTTGTCCCTAATTCTCAATTCTTAAAAAGTTCAATTTATTTATGACATTGGTGTTTATAAAGATTAAGAATTTAGAACAAAAATTAAGAATTAAGGACTTGGGTAACCCCAGCTTTACCTGTTTAAGGGTCAGTCATAAATAAACAAATAAATAAAAACCATCTTAAACTAGAAAAACTGCCCTATTCCATATAAAGGTGGAAAGGCAATAGTGAATTTAATAATTATCAATTAGTTTATTCCGTTTTACTCCTAGAGTTTTGGGGTATATAATCTTTACACACACAACTATGCAGTATTATATAAATGGCTCAGAAACTTGCCTGAAAAACTCACGAGACAAGAGATAATACAAAATACAATGATAGTATCAAAGTAAATTCATGATAGCCAAAGAAACTAAGTAAATATTTTAGGTTGGAAATTAATAAACTGCTGATAATCAAAAGGGTGGTAACCTGAAGGTATTACCGAATACTTTTAAATAATGTATGAAACTGTACAGAGACATATTAATTTATTGGCATATGTATATAAAAACTCACCATTATTACAGTCGGGACACCAACTCTGACCAGAGGAATCTTTGTTTCCGGTGAAATAAACATAAGCCTTTTGTTCGTGGGAATTGAATTCTTGAAAGAACTTGACGTATTGATCATATCCTTGGAGATAATGTACAACAACCATTTTGGTTCGCGGTTTCTTATCAGTGATTTGCTGGAGCTTTTAAATTCTTGATTTGGAATGATTTTCTGTTCGCGTAATTATTTGTCATTTGATAAGATTTTCAAAAAGATATTTTGAGGTTATTATTATTTGTTTTGCTCACTCTGTTCCAACCGACATGAGAACCGTTCTACAAGTTCTAGCACGGTTCCCATGTCGATGGGAACAGAGCTACTGTTGACGTAACAAATCAAGCCAACAAACTGCGAAATAGCGCTTTCTTTTTGTAGTGGTGCAGCATTCGAATAGCAAAGGTGTCGCCTGAAGGGTATATAACTCCTGATAGTACAGCGGATTAGCTAACCTATTGTGCACTTTTTGATGAAGGTACCAAATTTCGCACAGAGGTAGACCGATGTAATATGAACAAATTTGGATGTGGAGCCATCGGCCAACTGCCCCCCGACGGCCGTGGCGGCGATTTTCCACAATGGCTGCCAGTGGACACCACGAAAAATAATAGAAGTTTGATAAAGTTTGCTGCTGAAGGTTCTAGTGAATTTTTATTGAATGTTTTGAATGAAAACATGCCTTATTATATGTTACTACATACAGGGTGTATATTTTAAATCATACCAGTATTGCTAATTGCTATATCCGAATTGGTACGAGCTACAAGAGCCGCATTCTTTCGGACTGGATCAGTTGAACAAAACGCGTTATGTTCCAGAAATCACGTTCTTTCGCATTTTAATATTTGACAGTTAACGAATCATAATCCAAGAAATTCTGAACAAATTGAACATTTTTTATTGTGATTAGTTTGTTCCGATCACGAAAATCTCGACAGGGTTTTTTCGGACTTCAAAATTGAAACATGTTCCAATTGAACAAACTGATCAGGATCTCGGAATCATGATTCAAATATATTGCGAAAGAATGCGGCTAAGGTCGGTTAAATTAGAAAAAAGTTTTTTTGATGCCCATTCAAGACTCGTTCACAGTGTTGCCAAATTCTTTTTATGTTTTTTTTATGAGATACCAGGGTGATTTCTAAGAAACGCCTTGAAATATTTCATCAATTATTTCGAAAACTATTGACTTTCGAGACACGATTCAAATTTGAAAGTTTCATAATTTTTTTCGCTCTATAACTTGACATCGTCAAATTTCAAATCCGACGTTTCGTGATTGAGCTACCATCATCAAGTTCGTTTTTTTAAATAGGTACCCAGATTTTTTATGTATTTTTTAGAAAGCGCTCTGTATTCCCTTTTTAACGATATACCACTTAAGTATGATTGGCTGACATTTCTGCTCTAAAAAGTGATCATCAGTGATCATCATTGATCATTTTCAGCAAAATTTTGTGAAAGGACCCCGCACAAATCTTATCTAAATCCGGTCCCAGTAAAAAAGGCCGCAAAAAAATTTATCGAGCCGTTTTCGAGATATGAGCTATCAAAGTTGGGATTTAATGATATTACAGTAAATGGCAAATAAATGTCAAAAACTATTTCTCCATATTTTGTAACGTACTTTTTCACCAATATTAAGCAACACACAATATAACATCGATATTCTAATACTTTGCTGTTCCATAACAAACAAAAAAAAAGGAATCTACAGTGTCTCTCGGAAAAAAGTGACAGAAAAATAAATACATACATATATTTTTTTTTTTTTCAAAGTTTAAAAAACTGACCAGGCGTATTTTTGAGGTCACAATAAGTTTTTTTTTTTTAAATATGAGCCACACGATTTGTTACCAAAATACAGGGTGCTAAAAGAAATTAAATCATTTTTTAACATTGGGAAATGTTTATGTTCTCGCGTATATGGTGATCAAATTCGAAGTTTTTGTTCAAGGTCAAAAGACGGCGGTGTCGCCAGGGGCGTGCGGTGGAATTAGAAGTACAAGGCGAAGCGTGTCGCAGTGGGCGCAGTGCGTTATACAGGGTGTCCCACGGTGGATGGCGTATTAGACGTTTATGGAGAACTAAAAAGCGGATCATTTTGAAAATTTGGCAACCGGGATAAACGACCATAATCTTTTTGTGTATGCGGTGTTGCCGCTTCTACTCTAAACTAGTGGCAACATCGCTATTTTAAATGGAACACCCTGTATGTGATTGCATATTTCGATTCTACGTAAAATTCTGAGGAGATTTCATGTTATATACCCTATACCTAAGTTCAACTGTTTTGGAAATAATGACTTGCAAAATTGACTTTTTGCAACTTTGACAGGCTGTAAAACCTGAACGGTTAATTTAAGAGGAAAACCGATTTTACATTCCTATCTTAGATTTTTATAAACTATAATTTGACACCAACTTTGAATTTAATCCATGATTAAAAATTCCAATTAAATTTAATCTCCGGTTAAATTCAGAGTTGGTGTCAAATGATAGTTTATGAAAATTTAAGATAGGAATGTTAAATCGGTGTTCCTCTAAAATTAACCGTTTAGGTTTTACAACCTGTCAAAGTTGCAAAAACTCAATTTTCAACTGTCAATATTTCCGAAATAGTTGAACTTAGGTATAGGGTATATCACATGAAATCTGTTCAGAATTTTACGTAGAATCCAAATATGCAATCACATACAGGGTGTTCCATTTAAAATAGCGATGTTGCCACTGATTAAGAGTAGAAGCGGCAACACGGCATAAACAAAAATACTTTTAAAGTGTAGATTATGGTCGTTTATCCCGGTTGCCAAATTTTCAATATGATCCGCTTTTTAGTTCTCCATAAACGTCTAATACGCCATCCACCGTGGGACACCCTGTATAATGGGACAAAAATCATAGCGTTTAGCGTTTGTTCAATTGGATGGGGATTTCAATAAAATAATAGATATTTACGATACAACTGAGTTAACCGGATACTTAAGATACGCGTGTGGAAGTTGCACAACGAGTGCGTAGCATGCGTTGTAGTTGTGTATTTCACTCACTAACGTAGATAAGGGTATACCATTTAAAACGAAATAGGCTAAATATCTGATGCCACTTTTTTTTTATTTTAAAAACGCTCGTACACGTGATTTGATTGTGTGAGTGTTTGAAACATTTTCAGCACTAACTTAACCCTCTAAGAGGGGCGGGACCAACCCTTACCATTCCAAATGGAACAGGGGGTCGAGTGATACCTGTTTTAGAAGACCGTTCAATTTTCTTTCAGATGACATAAAATGAAAGAGAATTGAATGCTCTGTTAAAAGAGGTATCACTCGACCCCTTGTTCCATTTAAAATAGTAAAGGCTGGTCCCACCCCGCCTAGAGGGTTAAAGTTGAAGTGCTAAAAATGGTTGCAGAAAACTTCCCCCTTTAAAAATCAAATTAAGTGTAAGAGCGATTTAAAAAAAAATAAACGTGACATCAGATATTTAGCCTGTTTCGTTTTAAATGGAATACCCTGTATATATTATGTGTTAAATAGGTTCCATATAATGGTGTTATCATTTCATTCATTTCCAATGACTCCGATGGTTGCAAGAATTGCGGAATCTGTGAGTGAGAGTCGGGTTTAAAAGTTCTATTGAATTTTTGGATCAATTTTATTTAGTAAGTGAAACTCAATCCAACTAAGAAAAAGCCATCGCCTAGTCATCTTCTGACTGAAGAAGATCCAACTTGTTTGAGGCTAAACGTGCTAAACCAGACTAACAATAGCACTTGTTCAATTTGTAGTGATATCGAAAATCTACAGCGATTTAGTATAGAGTGTCGAGTAGAAGTTTTTGTTACCGAAAATATCTATTATATATATCCGGAAATGTCAGGTCATGCATTCATCATCTAGATGAAAACGGAATTATTCTTAGGCCTCTTCTTCGAGGATTAGAGTATGTCAACAGACCATACGTTATTAATGGTCCACCACTGGCGTAACTAGCCATCTGACCTAGGGGGGGCCTAGGGTGGGCCTGGCAGAGGCGCCGATTTTTGAAAGTCCTCATAGGTACAGGATAATATTTTTATAAATTTGTTTATAGGGTGAGGGGGAAGGTTGCCGTAGGCGCCGGCGGAGGCGAAAATTTTCCTCCGGATGCCACGCCTAAAAACGTCTATTTTATAATGTATATATTTTTCTATTTTTTTTACGAGCGTGCGAAAAGTGCTTTTTTCTGCACGCATTTTAGGTCATGAAAATATCACATCATTATCAAAATAATTATGCCTGGTACTTTTATGTCCTAAAATGCCTTATGTCCCGGTTATTATCAAAGAATAGAGATGGAGAATAGCAACATTAGCAATATAAAGTAATAGAGCATAGAATTGACCACAAATAACGAAAGGACAGAATACTTATACCTCCCTAATCTGTTTACACACACAGTGCAAGCAGGTTCTTCGCTTACTGGTAGGCAGCGCCGATCTGCGCAGTTTTCTCGCGTCGAGATAGCACAGAGTGAAGTTTTAATCGTGAAAGAAACCTGTATGGAGAATATTATTTCTCTCCAATATTTGTCGACTTCATTTCGATTGCTATGCTGCTTATCTCAAATAGGGATTTTTTCAAAAATTGCATCATTAGTAACTCCTTTCCCATTACAAGAACTGAAAAGACAATGCCGCGACGCGTGCAAAAGCAGAAATAAACTAAATTTTCATTCCGGTTAAAATGAGAACGCTGGTTCCCGCATCTACCTGCCTCCCACATAACAGTGAAAGAACATTCATATTCTCAGAATATTCCCTCAAAGTGCTTTTTGGAATGTTCTTTTAGGAATGTTTAATGAATATTCTAAGATTGTTTCGATTGAAATATTCATTTTTGAACGTTCTATTTATGTACTAGGAATGTTGCTTCTATGCATCTACCTGAAAGATTGTGCTAAGAACCTACTTTGTATAACAATCTTTGAATATTGTCATACGAACATTATTATAATGTACCCTAAAAAATGTTCTTTCGGCTAATATCTCTAGCAAGTATTAAGAATATACCAACCAAGTTGTGCTGAGAAGTTTATGTAGGTAGGTAACCATGATAAGAATATTTTCATATTGTTCACCTAATTATCTGAAGTACCTACTCAAAAATCATAATTTAACAATTAAACAATAATGCTCTATCTAGAACCTACTAAGAATATTATAGGTAT